AGGCGCTGCTTCTTCTGGCCGCCGGCCGAAAGCTCCTTTGGTTTCCTAACGTCGTGTTCCCTTTTGATATCCCAAGCCGGGTCTGGGCCTATCGGGTGGGAAGGGTCGGAGGGTGGGGCTGGATGTGATGGAGAGAATGGCGCGAGGACGTCCTCCAGGGAGACGCCTACTTCCGGCAGGCCTGGGCCGACGGCAGCGGGAGCGCTCCAGGCGCCGGGTTCGTCTGTGGACGGGAAGCACAGGCGTTAGGGCCGCGCGGCGCCGGCTTCCCGCGCGCCCGCCGCCTCCCTCCGCCAAGGTCAGGGGCGGGCAGCCGCGACGGCTGCTCTCAAGGTCCCACCCCCCCACTGCCGAGAGGGCAGCTAGCCGCGCCCCCTGGGGTTCTGTGCCCCTCCCTCACCACCGCCCCCCGGCCCGACCCCCGTCGGTAGACCCAGGAGGTCAGTGCGAAGCCCGAGGAGGCCTCGTCCCTTCGCTTTGGTCCCTCATAACTTCCTGGGGCGTCATCAGGTCTGACAGCCCTGTGTGGACATCGACACTTGGTCGCCCTCGGATCAGTGGTTCTCGTATTCGCTGATGCATCCGAATCACCTTGCCGTGGTGGGGGGCTGGGGGGACGGAAAATACAGATTCTCCGGGGGCTAGACCTGGAGATTCCAGCAGCACAGGGCCCAGGAATTTCTCTATTTTTAACCGGCACCTGGGTGATTCTGAAGAAGACAGTTTCTCAAAGGCAAGTGTTGAGAAACACTGCTCTAAGTTAGGAGAGTGATGTCGTCAACCATTAGGTGTCACTCAAAGCATAATTCTTAGCTATTGCTAGATAGTTTCAGAATTTGGATGCATTCATTGAAAACCTATCATTGTTGTCTTTTCAAAGTCGTTGTCCTTAATTCCTTTGAGTACTTCTGCCACTATAGAAGGCCCCAGGACTAATATAAATAATTCTTTCTAGTAAACCTAGTTTCAATATTTATTTAAGATTTAAATTCTGTCTGCTTCCAAAAAGGATTTAAGGTAATTTACAACATCAAAACACATATAAAACAGAATAATAAGTGAAGAATGACTTTTTTTTTTTTTAAAGCAACTACTGGTCAGAAGCCAAGTAGGACAGATGTGTTAGGAATCTGAGATGAGTTAGTTACTACTTGAGCAATAACATTACCCCTGGAGTTTCTGGCTACTAAGGGAAATTAAAGCAGGAAAATCCAATACCATGAACCCTTGATATTTGTAAGAATTATGTCTCATGACCTTTGGAAATGCTTACATTTTGTGATACATTCTAGAGTGTGACTTTTTCCATAGAGTTGGTATTTGGTCATGAGTGGAGAACAAAGAAGCCACACTGATACTTGATTCTGGGTGGCAGGTGAGCCTCCCTCATTAAAAGATTTCAGTTCCACACAGTAGCCTCAGTGCATGTGATTCCAGCTCCTGCCTCCAAATATGTGTCAGACTCCCGGGGATTCTTGTGCATACTCAGTCCATGAATGTCCAGGGTCTACTTTGTTTTAAAGTTCAAGATTCTTGTATGGTACCTTTGATACTGATTTATAAAGCAATGAGGAGAGGAAGAGGGCAGTGGGGCTGATTTTTCCAATAATTCTGGCCACCTTTAGAATGTTAAGTCAGTTAGAAAAAAGTTTCTTCTTGGATGTGAAACTTGAATGGAGTTTTCGGCACAATGTTACCTTCCTCCTTCCATAGACTGATGTCCATTATCATTTTCTTACAGCGAGTGAAAAATCCTAGAAAAGCATCAGAAGACCTGGAATCTAATCGTGGCTCTCTCGTGTATTTACTAGCAGTGAGGTTTTGGGCCAAGCACTAAATCTCTCTAAGACGCAATTTCTTCTTTTATAAGATGGGGATAAAATGTCCAACTTCACAGAAGTGAGATATACACTTTCTAAGAGAAACTGCCTTGCAATGGGAGTTTTATGACAATTTTTTTTTTTGGTACAGCACTGAGTTATATATCCTGTGCCTCAGTGGCTGCCTACTTATGGACTGGGCTCCTGTAGAAGCTGCCACACTAACTAGTACCCTTGCAGGTTTTGAATAAGTGCAATAAGTCAGTTATTTCCATGTGCTATGATTCCCAGGTATGGTTTTGCTATACCTTAGGTACCTTTGCCTTAAGGAATATTCTGGAATCCTGAAACATGAAGTATTCAGTGAAAATTAGAATATGCTCTACTTTTGGCTAGGTTAGAGTTTAAAATCAAGCAAACAAAAAGATAGGTGGTGGCAACTTCACCCATATAGGCAGATATTACCTAGAAATAAAGATGCTCTTTAAAAGGCCTAACTAGAATGTGCGCAGTAGTGATCTCTGACTTGGACCATGGTAATGATGTTTCACATTTTAATAGCTCTTTTCCCCATCATTACATCACATAGAGAGAGTCAATTAGTTGGCTTCAATTACTTTTGAGATACAGGGAAAAGGTTGATATTATTCACACCATTTCCTGAAGGAGGAATTGAAGCAGAGAGAGGTTAAGTAGCTTGACCAAGATTACAAAATGGGTCAGCTAGGGGTAAAATTCTGGGTTTCTTTACTCTTTTTTTTTTTACTTATTGAGAAAATTGTCCCAAGATGTTGCCTTGCAAATGGGATCAAAGCATGTGAAATGGGCATGCTCAGTGGCCACTGCTGGCCAACAGGAAGTAGATCCTATCATTAAGCAGAATATGTAGCATTTATTTCTGAACATTTTACTTACTACATGTCTGGCACTGAACTGGAGCGTTCCTATCCAGAAAAATGAAAACAATGTTAAGCCACACAAATTAATGTCCATCGTTAGCTAGCCTCACAGTATCCCTGAGATTCAGAGACACTCTTCTCTTTCCTTCTAATTAGACTTGCCCATCTCCAGTGATTCTCCATATGGTAAACTAAAAGGTGAAATTATTCACAAATACAAAACGTTTCTTTCTTTCTTTTTTTTTTTTTGAGTTGGAGTCTCACTCTGTCGCCCAGACTGGAGTGCAGTGGCCACTCCCGGGTCACGCAGCCTCGACCTGCTGGGCTCCGGCGATCCTTCCGCCTCAGCCTTCTAAGTAGC